GAAGTCCCATCTTTTTTTAACTTGCATGTATGCTTATTCTATTTTAGACTTCCTTTCGTTATGTGCTGAAAAATCATTTAGATGTTGGGAATGCAGATAAATTTTTTTTTTTCAGGTGTTTTGATTTTTAGTTCCAATGTGTCAAAATATAAGCTCTTATTTTTGCTTTTCTTTTCTTTTACTTTTGTTTTCCCCTCAGGCATAGCTTGTTTCACCATTGTTGATAAGCAGGTTTGTATTTCTCACCATAGTAACACCTACTTGGACTATGTTAAAATGGTGCCTTTTTTTTTTCCCCTTTTCTTTTCTTTTCGAAGCTGTATTGTATTTGGAACTTCTGCAAATACCACTTTCTGGACCAGATTCCATAGTCGAACGAGTTGTGGTTGTCCATGCTGATCCCTATGATCCTGGACGAGGTGAGTTTATGTGTTCTATGTATTTCCCGAGATAATTAAACTAGATTTTAATAGCTAGCTATAAGTTTAATATAGCTTTAACTTTTGCTTATAGTAGGATACTTGATAAACAACATCTCTAATATGGTGGTGCTGGTAGATAATTAATCAACCGTTAATAAACGATAAATAGTTCAAATTGGTTTAGTGCTTATTGTTTTTGTCTTACTTTGTTGCAATTACTAAACAATGCATCTGTATCTCTGAATGTTGGAATATAATATTTGAAAAATGTGATTGTGCATGAAAAATCGGTAAGTCTTGTGTTAAGCCGTCCTAATTTCAGTTTTGACAACTACTCATACTTTCATTAGAAAATTTCGTATAACTGTATAAGTATACATTTTTATTTATAGAGTATGGTGGGTCGACCCGCCTAACAGTTAGGCCGTTTCACATAAGAATTTGTAATGAATTAACACTTCCTGATGTTATCTCACCACTTGAATTTTGAAAATCACTTAAAATTTGTTCTATCATCTAATGACTACCTCCTTTTGTTCAGGTGGACATGAACTGAGCAAATCCACTAGAAACGCTGGTGGAAGAATTACTTGTGGTAAGGAAAAGTAATTGTTGAATCTATTAAAATGATGCAAGAAAAGTTTGGTCTACAATGTCATTTTTTTTCATGTACTGCTGCTACTTCACATTGATGAACTTACAACTGATTATATTAGCCACTCTTATAATTTTGTCGGAACTAGTGTTTTTCGCCATTAATAGATAGTATTAATTAACTCAGTAACTTCAATTTTAAGATATCTTTCGTACTGAACTACTGTGGAATTCACTAAGACTGACCATAAAAAAGGTTCGTAACCATCGACTAACTATTTACGTTTATTTTTTTTTTATTTTTTTTTATTTTGATAATTTTATGCAGGTATAATTGGTTTTCGGGACCAAGTAAAATCTACATTTGTGTGGGTTTTATTGTTTTAGTAACCGTTTGTGGGCAGACGTGTTCGCATTAACAACTTGTAGTAAGCATTATGTTCTTTTAGTCTTGATTTATTGTTATTTATGGTTTTTCAATCAGGTGTTTGATTTGGAAGAAGCAAACCTAGAAGAAGAAATTACGGTGGACCAAGTATTTTCTCGATATCACCTCACTGGCAAAGTACTATATAGGCTTTTGTTTAGAATATTTGGTTTATGTTGAACTATTTGAGTTTTATAGTATTGTTAGCTTTTTGGGAAATGTTAAACTACGTTGGTGTTATCAATAATGAACTAATTTTAGTAAATTTTTGTTATTTTATTTATTTAGTTGTATTGATGGTACATTTGGTCTCAATTAAACAGGTGTAAAAAAACGTAATAAACTACGATATAAAAAAAAAATTATATCGGTAAAAAATATAACATATACAATCTTACATCTTTTATATCGGTTTAAAAACAACACATAGAATCTGATATTCTATATCGGGTTTGATGTCCAACCCATATAAAAAGATATTTTTTATATGGGGTCATTCATTTACCTGATATAGAAAACACATTTTCTATATGGGGTATTCTATAATTCGGTTTTCCAGATATCTCTTCTAGATGGGGTGATTCATTCACCCCATATAAAAAGTTTACTTCCTATATGTGGTATCGCCCGATATAAAAAGCTACCACTTATTATATGGGCTGAAACTATATCGAAGTTGAAACCGATATAAAAAGTCATTTTCACCCGATATAAAAAACGTTTTTTCCACTAGTGATTAATCAGTACAAAACGTATTTTCAAAACACGTTCTATAAATAATTCAGCAGAAAACGTATTGTCAAAAAACGTTTTATGTAAAATGTATTTTGATAATACGTTTTACAAATAATTCATTATTAAATTGGTAGCCGGAAATTTCACACTGCGCAAGTAACTGTCCAACTGCAAAGCAACTGATTCATTATAAGTATATGACAACGTCTCTGAGGAACCATTCCTTCAACAAAATCTCGGAATAGAACTTCCCTTTATATGATAATTGAAGTCAACTCAGTACAATTGAAGTCAATTTCGTACAATTGAAGTCAA